CCGACCTACTATATATATATATATATATATAGTATAGAGGCATGCACCCTTAGAATTCTAAGGGGGCTTTCGCACACTTCTCCCTCTCTCTTTTGTTCTCTCTCTCTCTGTCACAACTCCAAGCTTTTCTATCATGGAATTAGAGTTGGTTCGAAAACCCTAGATCTACAAGGCCCTTCAAGGATCTTTCAATGACATCTTCTGACCTTGTCTTACCAAACAGAAGCCCTCTTCTTTCTCTTAGCAAATTCTCCACATAACCCCAACACAAATTCTATATCTCCTCTTTGTCTTTACCTTCTTAAAACCCTAATTTTCTCTTCAAGTATTTCTTTAATTTACATATCTAATTTTCATCTTCAAAACCTTAGTTCTCTTCTCTTGAAACCTCTTATCTTCTCTCTACCCATTTCTTTCTTCTATCTCTTTACTTTTTTTCTACAAAACCCTAGCTCTCTTCTCTTTTAGGGCTTCATATTCTAACTCTACATAATATTACTTTATCCATCAAAAAACTGCACCAATATGTTAACATCTCTCTCCCCAAAAGAAAACCCGTATCTATTCTCTCTCTCTCTAGGGCATCATGTGCCCAGATCTCTTTCTCTAAGGCATCACTCGTCTAATTTTCTCTCTCTAAGGCATCGCGCACCTAGCTGTCCCAGCAACTCTTTATTTTATTTTATTTTTCTTCTCGACAAAAGTTCTCCCTGTTCGAAATCTTAATTCTCTCTCTCTCTCTGTCTCTCTCTCTCTCTTTGCATCGCATGCCCAATTTTCTTCGCCTATAGCACCACATGCTCGATTTTCTTTCAACAGGCCATCAGACAACTAATATTTTGTTAAACGTTTTGTCTTTCTTCTGAACTTCTAGCCCAACATAGTATCCTCTTCCAACACGTTTTCTATGGTCATAAAATTGACCTCATCCAATTTCATAACATGGAAAACCATCATTGAACCATTCATTCGTAGTCATAAACTTGTGGGACATTTGTATGGTACTTCAAACCTCCATCTAAACTCCTTATCAGAAATGGTTATAAAATTGACCTCATCCAATTTCATAACATGGAAAGCCATCATTGAACCATTCATTCGTAGTCAGAAACTTGTGGCACATTCATACGGTTCTTTAAACCTCCCTCCAAACTCCTTATCAGAAATGAAATTGATGAGACTAGGAAAAATAAAGTTTCCTTCACAAACCCCACAAGTGAAAAATGGGTTGCTAGTGATCAACAACATGTTCGATGGATCAATGCAAGTCTCTCAAGATATCCTCGTACAAATTGTTGGAATGCCCATGGCTGCTGAATTATGGAAGGCTTTTACATGATACATTCTAACATGAGTCAGAGGTATGTGCGATGGACTGGAAGCTTGTTGTTCAATAATGCAAGCAAGAAAAGATGATGATCATTGAACATCATAACAGAATTAAAGGCCTTTGTAATTGGACGGATAGTAACATGAGGATGGCTTGGGAAACTTGCCTTGCTCTCACTGGCTTGAGTAAGTTTGTCATTCCTCATTATGGTCACGTAGGCCATGCTACTAAAGGTTATTGGCGGTGGTGGAATATCACTAACCGCTCTTACTGGAAAGCAGACCATAAATGGAAGGCCGTCAACAGTACCAAGAATGATACAAGACATGGGAGGCATTTTGTGCCTCCAATCTTCTTCAAAGTTCATGAACTTGACTACCCCTTGAACTGGAAAGGACTTGGTATACCTCGATCTCTAGCCATGGACCATACCGGCATTCAATATCTTTCCCGTGAAGGTAAAACGAGGTCTTTATTTGATGACCTTTGTTCGATCTTCAAATGGACCAAGGGTCGTGCCGTGCCTGGTTATGAAGGTTGTCCTATTCAAAACCTTAATACCTTAATAGGGAGTGGGCCTCATTCTACTCCAGCTGCCAAATCTCACCAAGGATGCTGCTTCCAAGTTAGGAGATGAGGCAATCCCAGAGAAGAGAGTAAAGAAGAAAGGGGCAAAGAAGAATAAGGACGTAGAGAGTCTTGAACCCAGTTCCACTGTAAAACCTGAAGTTCCTTGAAAGAGCATCCGTCTGAGTAAAAGGGCTTTGTCAAGTCCAGATGCATCTCCTTCAGTTCCATCCGCTTCGAGTGAAGGAGCTGATGTCCCTCATAGACCAAAGAAGCGTGTAAAAACGAAGGCTTCAGAGTTAACAATTCCTGCAATTGTTGTCGCTCAACCAAGTCCATCTGGTCAGACATCCTTCAGCTTGAGTTGTCGATCAGAGAGTGCTCCTCCTCCCATAGTAGAAAACCTCTTGCTAATAAACCCACTGAGCCTGTAATAGTGCAGTCTCCAACTCTCTCATCATTGAGTCAAGGAGACTTTCTTTGCACCATCACTGAGGAAGGGAATATTCTTGAAGATGAGACTGAGGCTATAGGTGGGGCCCCAAATATTGAAATAACAATTTCAAAGGTACCTACTCCAACTACTTCAAGAGTAGAACCCCAACCAGATGCATCCTTAAGTAAAGCTTTGGACCTTGTAGTCGTCCCTACTCCTGAAGAGCCAATTTTATCAGTTGCAAATGCAGAGGCTTCATCTAAGCCCGGTACTTCCTCTAGTGAGCCCTTGGCTCTTGTTCCTCGGGAACTAGCTATCATTGCTGAAATTCCTCCCTCTGTTGTGGCTAGTTCTTCATCTTTGCCTTCTTCAGTGTCAGGCACCGTATCAACTATGAAAACTTTGCAAGTTGAGACTTTGCTACGGTCAAGTCTTCAAGAGATAAATGCTCTATCCCTGATCTTGCAGCCAAGATTGCCGCAGTCAGAGACTGCACCACTGCTTTGAAGGTTGTCAGCTATGATAAGGAGACTTTTGATCGATTCAAAGGCCTCTTAAAGGACCTTAAACTTTGGGGATTTGAAGCCTCACAACGCGAATCCGAGGTGCAAGCACAATACAGGACTCGCCTGGCTTCCTTAGAGGAGACTCTAGCTCAGCATCAAAGTCTTATGAGGAGCTATGATGAGAAGAAGGCACCTCTCCTTTCTTATCAAGCCAGTTTCAAGAAAGAAGACTCAGCCTATTCTACTGAGATAAAGGCAGCAGAAGAAGAAAGGGCAAGGTTGGATATTTACATTCACCAGTTAAAGACTAAACAAAACCACATGAGAGTAGAGGCTCGAAGCAAGTCCCAAGAATTGGAGATGTTAAACTCTGAGGCAACTTTGACAAGCCCAATGTCGAATCAAGTTACTCGGGCAATCTCCCTCCTCAAAGAGCAAATGAAGACAGCCTTAGAACCCTCAAAAGCATTGAAGACCAAGATTCATGAAGCCCTTGAAAACTTCTAGAGGCTCATAAATTCTTTAACTTGTTTGCTTGTTATATCTCCTTTTCATTCCTTCTGTGGATTTTTTATAACTGTCACCACAATTTTGTAATCTTCTTGCATATGGAATGGATACTCTCTTCTTTTCATCTTTGACTTGTCTACTTTTCTTTGCTTTGTGGTTTGCTTTTCTTTCTTCATGGTTTGAACCTTTCTTTTATCCTTGTGACCAACCCTCGTCTCCTCTAAAAGGGCGTAAGAGATGGGCCTGGAGGTCTGCTTTGCATGGAAGCATGTTTGATCTCCGTCATATGTGACTTGAACGACATCTCTGGTTTTCATCCAAGTCCTTGGGGTATGTTGTGCCATATCTAGTTTTCACAAGGACCCCGTATACATTTTTTTGTGGCGCTTTTGCCCATGGTTTTTACACCATGTCTGCTATTTTTACATTTTTACTCGCGATGCCCTTGTGGGCTTTCATTGTGCCCATTTTTTTATTTTGACATATTTTGCTCGCAATAGTTGATGCTACTATCACGCCCGTCATGTTTTTTCTTTTCTTTTCTTTGACTCTTTTACCCATGACGCCCTTGTGGGTTTGCGTCATGTCTGTTTTTTTGAAGATCTTGTTGAGACCCTTTCTTCCATATTTCTTGTCAAAAAGCACAGTGAAAGAGCACCTTTGGTCTAAACCAGTGGTTTAAAAAAGAGATCGGTGAATCGTCCGACTCGGTCAGGTTAAGCTTTAAAAAAATACAAAAAAATTATTAAAATTCATTATAAATATTGTCTTTTAGGAATTCAATAAGAAACAAGGATCCTACAATGTTAACTCTCATTTTTTTCATCAATTTGTGAATATTGAGACGTTCTTTCCCTGTATAAACTTATGTTAACCATTAAATTTACATCATACAAAAGAAAAATCATAGAATTATCATGGATAAAGTATATCAATCATACATGGACAACAATAAAAAGT